CTCTCTCTCTCTCTCTCTCTCTCTCTCTCTCTCTCTCTCTCTCTCTCTCTCTCTCTCTCTCTCCCCTCCACCCCGTTTCTCTTCCTATTCCTACACTGACAGTTTGTTTAGTCCATTTGAATATCTAGAGTTTGTTTAGTCCATTTGAATATCTGTTATGTCATTTTCTCTATTTGAAATTCTGAGGAGTCCCATGAAGAACAAGTGATCAAAATCACTATGTTCTTATCAATTCAAGACTTATCATTCTCTCAAGAAATTAACTTAATTTGAATTTAAAGGAATGATCATTACAAAAATAGAAAAAGGCAGAAATGACTACCAAAACAAGAAAGTATCAAATCAATCAATTAACAGACATATACTGAATGCCTGTGTGAGGCTGTGGGAGATCCAAAGATAGAAGATTGGTTATTCATAAAAGAGATTTTTGCAGAAAGCTAGATGGAAAAACTGACTGTCACTGTAAGGTGAACAGGTCAGTAGATAGATCAATATCCTGCCAGATGGATATAGTGCCAGATTGATAGCTGGACAAGGGGCCAGACAGGTACATTTATATGTCACTGGAGAGTTTATTGTATTGGTATAAAGTTCTTGTGGCACATGTGAAGAATGACATGGGGGAATTGGGGAGGGAGGAGTGGAGTAATACCGTCACTGCTAAGATAGGCATTGTGACATGGTGCCAAAACCTGCAAGGAGAGCAAAAGAGCACTCATGCTTTGAAGGAATCTATATGTCTTCTTTCTAAGGGCTTTTCCTAGAGTGGCTTGCAGTCTGACTTTTAGGATTGCTGGCCTCATAGCCAGAACGCTAGATGCACCCAGATTTACTTTCAGAACAAATTAATCAAAGACTTGAATCCGATGGATTAAATGAAGTCAGGCTGCTAGAAGGCATCTGCTGACTTGGAAATAAATATGACATAGATCCTCAAGAAATCATTGTTTCTGAAAGTGGCCACCAACACTAGAGGGAGAACAGCACCACGGACAGCTCCCAAAGATGTGGGGATTGCCTTCAGTGTTTGGTGCCAGAAACACTGAGTAAAGGAGCCAGCTCAGGAATCCTCCACACACTTCCATAACATCTTCATTCAGGCTGGCTAAGGAAATCCTTATATCACAAATAAGGCTCTCTGCTTGGTAACTTGCACCCTTGGCTTATAGTCTTTTCAGTGAATTCCTTTCCTTGCAACCTCAAGAGCTTGAGTCCCACCCCTCCCCTTGCTTCACCAATTCCCAAACTAGAGAGAAAAGAAGACCTTGGCTTCCGACCCATTTTGTCCTTGAGATTACCCAAGGACAGAGAATTCCCCTGGGAAGTTTACGGTGTGGAATGAAAGCAATTAAGGAGTCGAATAAAAGAATCAATTGCATGTGAGAATGTGGACTTGTATGGAAAGATGTTTAAATGAGCTCTGAAAGAAACAAGATGCCAAGAGCAATTTTCTAATCAAAGGGGAATAAATAGATTCAATCTTGATTTCACTCTAATCCAGAAAACATGTCGTCATGGTGAAGGGGTCTTAAAATGGACTCACCCGCTGAAGCAGAAAAATGATTATCTGTTCAATATGAGAAGGGACCATTGGTAATCAAGTCAAGATGCTGAGGGACACAGAGAATGCCTGAAAAGAAAGGAAGGGAAGGCCATTTTTGTTTTGATTTTGAACAAGTTTTTGTGTCCCAAAAGAAAGGTACCTGATTCCTATAGAAATCCTAGGGATCTTTCACTGGAATATCATGACTTTTGGGGGAACTCTTCCAAGTTTCTCATTATGAGGATAATATTCACGTGTATGAAATATAGATATTTATGGAAATATTACCCTTTTCTTCTTTATAGAGAGGATAGTGCCAACAGCACTGGAAAAAGATGTTCCTGTGAACCAGCAGATATTCCCTTTGGATAGATGTGCTTCTGTACCTCCGAGAACTCTCACAAGAAGTAGTTGAACAGTCAGGCCCAACAGTTCAAAATAGCTGAAGGTCAAGAAATTTGGCTTTTCTTCCCAGCTCCCCAACATCTCACCAAATGACTTTAGAACTTCACTTGGTTCTATTTCTTGGAAGGTCTTTGGGTCAGGTTGCTCACCCAGGTATAAAACAGAAAGAGGAATTTTTATCTGAGGCCTACAAGGAACCGTCTTATGGTCTGGTGGTCATAAAGTGTTCAGCACCTTACAGAAAGAGACACTAAAAAATATACAGTGTCCCCATTCCCAAGAGCAATTTACTTTGTATGCACTGCCCATACCTAATACTTTGAGCTATAGACTTCCAAGGAATGGAAAAGATGCTAAAGCTAGTCTGATTTTGTTTTATTGCAGATGTGACGGACAGGAAGCTGACTGTGGAGGAAGAGGAAGCCAAGAGGATAGCAGAGATGGGAAAGCCAGTATTGGGTGAACACCCCAAACTGGAGGTCATCATTGAAGAGTCCTATGAGTTCAAGGTCAGGCCATCAGCGAGGACTAATTGAATAATAGGTTAACTAGGGTGGGAGGCAGAAGACCTGGGATTTTGTCCCAGTTTCACCACTGAATATGTGAAATTGAAACTGAACAAATCACTTACCCACCCTGGGTCTCAGTTTCCCATTTGAACATTGAACAAGTAGTGCTGGCCATTTGTATGCTAGGAATACTTTGAGGAAACAAATAGAATGCAGAATAAATGGGCTAGAAAGCCCCTGGATGTATCATCACTATTGTTTACCTGTGTTTCTAAAACCTACTAAAATTCCCTACTCTAGGGCAAGGTTTATTGATATTATTGTTAATCTCTTTGTATTACTCTGAATATCCAACATCAGAAGCCACAGCCAAAAGAAAAGAGAAATAGAACAACTGTCCCAAAAGGTATCACTCCAGGCCATTCTATGCATAACTTTCAGAACCCCTGAAATGCAGGGCATCTTTCAGTCCTTTGAAGAACCAGACTTCTCATTGGTTCTGAGCACTCTAACTTCATGTCTCCAAGTTTTTCTTTCTCTAACAGACTACAGTGGACAAGCTGATCAGGAAGACAAACCTGGCCTTGGTTGTGGGGACCCATTCCTGGAGGGACCAGTTCATGGAGGCTATCACTGTCAGTGCAGGTAAGAAGGGTCTCAAGATGGCCTTGTGGGAGAAGCAGGCAATACCTGAAAGGAAGAGCAGCCACGTCAATAGCCCGCCAGTGCCTGGGAAGGCCTGTGTGTCCAGTCCTCCCAGCTCTAATCCTCAGTGTTTACCTGTTTCACTGGGTCACCTTGGAAAAGAATCATGGGGTAATTAAAGCAGCATGGCTATCTCTGGTTTTAGATCCTGGTTTTGCTCTGTGAACTAAGACAAGTATCCTCTCTGATCTCAATTTTCTCATCGCTAAGAGGGAACCATTGCTACCTTTCTCAGAAGGGTAAAAGGGTACAGAATCGGGTACATAACACGGACTCAGTAAATTCTGGTTTCCATCATTCGTTCCTCTCGTTAATTTGGTCCCATTTTTCTGTAAAATAGGGGACAATTCTGATTTAGAGACACAAGGGTCAGGAGTTTGTAAAACACTTTGCACTGACTCTCCAACAAACCTCCACCCTGCATGATTCCAAACCTGTACTTTGGCATTTACTGACAGGTTCTCTCTGTAGTGACCCACAGTAAAGCTGGGAGTCCCAGAGGCCTTCAGACATGTTGGAATGGGGATGGAAAGGGTCCCCAGCCATCTCAGTACTGCCTGTCAGCTCCACCGAATGCTCCTGGTGCTGCCGAGCACCACTGGCCTTGCGTTTTTTCATGAGGCTTTGTTGTCATAGCAACCCACAGGGTCATATCCGCAAGGCCCCAGAGCCAGGGCAAAAACACAGCCAGGAGGAGAGGCCTGTGCTGCTGCTGGTGCCCAACTTTTGTCAACACCTGCTTCAGATCCTTCTAGTTCCCCTGACGACCTCACTGTGCTCCTCTAGAGACAATAAGCAGAATGTAAGCCATATCGTCTACCCCCTCCTTTTACAAATGAGGGAACTGAGGTTCAGAAATAAGAGACAATTTACCCCAGGTTACAGATTTTCTCCATGGCAAAGCTGGAATCAGAACCCAAGTGTCCTGACTCTTGCTGTTTCGAAACCTAGCTTCTCCCTGTTATGCCAAAGCCTTACAAAGGCTGCCCTGGACGAGGCACCAGCGAGCCTCAGCACATCCTCTCTTCCCAGACTGCTGAATGGGCAGCTCTGCCAGTGTCTGGCAAGGACAATCAGGGCCCATCCCCGCTCTGTCCCATGGGATATTTGGAGGATGGCACTGACTCTCTGGTACACCTTCATGATCTGGAATGACAGCTCTGGGGATGGACTGTAACCAGCACCACGATGGTTATTGCAGCAGTCAGGTCAGGAAATTCAAGAAGAGCCCGCTGGCATCCAGTGGAGAGTGGGCACACAGGCCTGATTCTGCTTCTGTTCCCCTCGGCAACCAGATGCAGCCTGCTCCATCCCTTGCTTTCTCCCCCACTGTCTTGTCCCCCCACCATGGTCTCCCACCCTAATCTCTCTCTCTCTCTTCTCTTCCTTATTCCCTGCTCTCTCTCTCACACTCTCCCTTTGTTCCCTGAATTCAAATTGACCAATGAGGCAACCCAACTTGTCTCCCTTTTCCCACCTGTTTCCTGGTGTCCCCTCCCTGGCCCTCGCCAGCTGCCCAGAAGAGAGCTGGAGTCCCCTTCTCACCAGTGATGCCTGTGACATGGGTTGGACTTGACTTTCTCAGGAAGGGGGATCTGACCTTGCTGCCCTTGCTTGGGCCTGTTTTTCTTGCCTGCAGCAGGGGACGAGGACGAGGATGAGTCAGGGGAGGAGAGGCTGCCATCATGCTTTGACTACGTCATGCACTTCCTGACGGTCTTCTGGAAGGTGCTGTTTGCCTGCGTGCCCCCCACAGAGTACTGCCACGGCTGGGCCTGCTTCGTCGTCTCCATCCTCATCATTGGCATGCTCACCGCCATCATCGGGGACCTGGCCTCCCACTTCGGTTGCACCATTGGTCTCAAGGATTCCGTCACAGCTGTTGTTTTCGTGGCATTTGGCACCTCTGTGCCAGGTGAGAGTGAGAGGTGCTTGAATGTGCAGAGAGGAGATTCCTCGTTCAAATGACCCTGAATTCTGCCTCATTATCTTCCCCGCCATCTCTGATCTGAGCTGCACAGAGCCTCTGCCCTTAAGTGCACAAAAGTCAACCAAAGGGATTAATGATAATATTAATAATGATAGCTGACCTTTCTTGAGCACTTTCAATGTGACAGGCGCTATGTATGCTAAGCAATTTACATGTTTTGTCCCTGTCATGCTCACCAAAACCGCATTAAATAGGGAAAGTTATTATCCCCGGCTTGACAGGTGAAGAAACAGGCCCACAGAGGTTAAGCTACCTGCGCAAGTTAGTGGCCCAATTTCTTAACCTCTACATTACATGAATAGGCAAAAAAAAACAATGTAACTCAAAGAATAAGATATTGTTCTCCTTCCGTGTACCTCTGGCAGTGTCTGGGAGGCTAGTGGATAGCCCGTTTGAGGGCATCACGATAGGAATGTCCGTGAGCATTCCCGTCCTCCTCTGCTTGTAGTACAAAGTGTCTTCTAGCAGGACAGGGGAAGAAAACAGCAAGCTTTTGTCCTTTCATATGAAGAATTAAACACTTTTTTTTCTTCTAAACACTCAGATACAAACAGAAGTAGACATTCATTTTTTCGCTCATTAGCACCTATTATGCTTGTTAGCGTACTGTGCTAGTTGCTGAGACTATAATAAGAGCCATGCTTTCTTTTCCACATGGAGTTTGTAATCTAGTGAAGGAGACTGCATTCAACTACTGTAATTAAAATAATCTCCAAGTTCTATGAAAAAAGTACAGGTGCTATGCAAGTATCCAACAGGTGGACCTGGACTAGGCTGGAGTCACGGGGGGCTTCTGGGAGATATATGGAAGCCGGGCCTGAATGGCAAGGAGGAGTCAGCAGGTGGGGAGGGGCTACATTAGCCCAGGTTCCTTACTTAGTTCAGTTGGGGTCTCCAGGGAGCCTGAACCCTGAACTCCTGCCAGCAAGCTGGAATAGTGATTGAATCTCATCTCACCTGGCTGGACCAAGGGAAACTCTTCCTGTACTGAGAAAACATATCCTCTGGAGCGTAACTGAATCTACATCACACTCTAGGAAAACCTCTTCCCCAAACCCCAGCACAGACCAGTGGAATTATTTGTACATTTGTGATGCAAGAGGTTTGGCATTGTGGAAATGTGTCAAATGATAGGAAATTAGGTAGATGATCCAGGGAAGGCTTTGTGGATGGGTTGCCCTGTGATCTCTGTTCTCCAGGCCTTGAGGGGCCAGAAATATCAAAGGGGAAGGAGCAAATATGGAGAGAAGAATAAATGTGGTAATAAATAGCTAAGGATCAGAGGCAAAAAAATAAATACATAAACCAAAGTCATAGGCAAAAAAAGGCAAGAGACTTTTTCTGGGAGATCTGAGAAAACTGGCAACAGTGGGGCAAGCCAGGGCAAGCCAGGCAGGGAGATAGTTGGGGCACTTGCATGTCCTTGCAATTGGTCCAGAGAACAGCTAACAGCATTAGGGACTTTTAAGGTTTTGCTCTCAATGGTCCATTCATCTGATTTAGTGGCTTTGGTTGAAGCTCCTTAGATGTAGTTGATGATATGGAAAGGGAACTTGCATGAAGGTTTTAGGGCCAAGCCTCTTGCTAACTTCCTTCATGACCTTGGGCAGATTCCTTTGCCCTTATTTTCCTTACCTATAAAATAAAAGAGTTGGGCTACTTGTCACTGACTGTCCTTCCTGCACCTACAATCTGTGCCACAATCTAAAGTCAAACATCCTGCAAGGCCCTGTGTTCCATATACGAACTGCAAAGACAGAGCCCCTCTTTCCTTGAGTCCACAGCTCAGCCCGCTTGTCCCCATCATGGTTCCCCCACATGTCCTCTGTCCTTGTAAATCTAGCACTCAGCTCAGCGCCAAGCCCATAGGCACTGTGCAATAACTGTTAAGTAAGCAAATGCCCCATATGACAGTTACAATCAGGCATCTATCCTAAGTAGCATCCTGGATGTCAATTCCCTGGGGAGATATTATGGAATGGCAAAACCCTTTACTGAAAAAGTAGTCAAAGGGAAATAACAAACTCACTCAGTAAATATCAGGACTGGAAAGGCCCTTACAAATCTTTCAGATTCCTGCAGATGAGAAACGGGAAGCCCAGACCAGGGAGGTGACTTGCTCAATGGCACACAGCTTGTGACAGAGTTTGGAGTAGCCCCCAGCCCTTGCCTCTCATTCCTGGGCTCAGCCCACCAGCTCAAGCTGCCTTTGGGGCTTACTCAAAAACAGACCCTCCATATCTCAGCCTCCCGCCCACTGTCATTTGTTTCTGTCCTTTTCCAGATACGTTTGCCAGCAAAGCTGCTGCCCTCCAGGATGTGTACGCAGACGCTTCCATCGGCAATGTTACAGGCAGCAACGCTGTCAACGTCTTCCTGGGCATTGGCCTGGCCTGGTCCGTGGCCGCCATCTACTGGGCCCTGCAGGGACAGGAGTTCCACGTGTCAGCCGGCACGCTGGCCTTCTCCGTCACCCTCTTCACCATCTTTGCATTTGTCTGTATCAGTGTGCTCTTGTACCGACGGCGGCCCCACCTGGGCGGGGAGCTCGGTGGCCCCCGTGGCTGCAAGCTTGCCACGACTTGGCTCTTTGTGAGCCTGTGGCTCCTCTACATACTCTTTGCCACACTGGAGGCCTATTGCTACATCAAAGGGTTCTGAGCCTCAGATCAAGGTCTCCAGCAGGGAGGCCTAGGACTTCTCCTAAGAGAAGGGCATTTCCCCACCAGTTACTTCTCCAGGATGAGCAGCCCTGGAGAGACAGCATCAGGACCCGAGCCCCAGGAACTTCACCCGACCTAGACCCTGGCAGTGAACTGAAAGGGCAAAGTCTTAATCAATCAAACAGAATGAAGGAAACACCCACTTTACAAAGTATTTAGTTACTTACAAACCAACAGCAACAAATCCACCTCCACCCCATCTTCCCACCCATGTTCCTGACCCATAGCAAAGGTCAGGCCCTTTCACCTCCTGCTATTCCACCTTCTGATTATTCCTTTGCGTCTCTTTTCTTTGGGGGCAGGGTGTCTCCTGTCTGTCAAATTCGATACATCACGGTTCTCTCGCTCAGCTGGCACAGCATAAAAATGAGTCATATCCCCGTGGCTAGCTTGGGGTTCTCTTTTCCTTATAGTCATTATTGTGGTTGCTTTCATTTTTCCATCAGGTTCTGCTTGCTGTTTTGTCTTGTCTTTTCTTCCTGAAGTTAGTGTCAAAGGTGCCGTGAGGGAACTCCAGGTGGGAGCCGACAGATGGAGGCCTGCACTTGCAGACACTCACCCTCCATTCTCACAGGCTGGAAGACATCTCTTGGCTCCATCGAGCTCCTTTTGTCCTCTGAGTTCTTTGGAGGACTGGTGGCGTTTGGGTGGAAGTAAGCTTGCACACTCACACAGGGGCTCTAAGGAGCAGGGGCTTCTACTGGAGCAGGGGGAGCTTTCTGTGCTTATGCTGAAATCAAGTCAAAAACAAAAAAGCAATTGTCCTCTTTCCTTCCCAAGCCTTTCCAATTCCGTGTGTGTGTGTGTGTGTCACGTTAGTGTCTATATGTGCATCCTTCCACAGGAAGACCACCGAGTGGGAGACACTAGACAAAAATAGGAACGTGTGTGATGACAAAGGGCAGCTGGGGAAACAAAAGGGACACATGCCTTCTTGAGTGTCTTTGGCTTTGTATCTGAGGCAGGAGAGAAGAAATGTCCAGCCAGAGGGATCTTTAAAGCAAAAGATGATATCGAAAATGTCAGTGTTTCCTAGAAATGTCAGCTTCACCACCCCTTGTTTCCTAATGTGCCACACTAGGAAGGCAGACTGTATTTCTTGAAGTGATGCAAAACCTCAGAGGTTTATAAGAGAACAAGGGGCTCCTTCCCCCTCTCCTTGGCCCTCAGGTCCCGTACGACTAGAAATGTCAGCTTCACCACCCCTTGTTTCCTAATGTGCCACACTAGGAAGGCAGACTGTATTTCTTGAAGTGATGCAAAACCTTAGAGGTTTATAAGAGAACAAGGGGCTCCTTCCCCCTCTCCTTGGCCCTCAGGTCCCGTACGAAAGCATTTTCACAAGATAGCAACTGGAATTCCTCATTTTCCCCACGTTCCTGCTTGTTTCTAAACCTCACGAAGCTCTTTTTCCAGCTTACGGGGTATTTCTTGCCCTAGTAATAGGAATCTTAGTTGCCATAATCCCATGGAGCCTGGATTTATAGAAAAAAAAAAGATTGCCCTGCTCTATGGATCTTTTCCTGATAGATTCTGAAAGGACCTGGCTTTAAAAACACACACACACACAAATAAACACACATCCAACCTCATCACGAAACTACCCACAGACCTTTATGCTTCCTGCATTGACATAAATACATTTTCTAAGGGGGAGAAAAGAAATTTAAAAACACCTGTTTAATTTTAAACACATTTTTTTAAGAAAAAAATAACTAAAAAAGAAACAGTGCTCGTGTCATAAGCTATGTTGACAGTTGCCAGTGGAAATGTTGGGTTGGTTTTAAAAAAAATAAATAAAAGCTATACTTATATCTCTCTACATACAGCTTGTTTCTCTCTGTGTTTCTTCAGTGAAAGATCCAGGAAGCCACCTTGGGTCACTTCTGAAGCAGATGCGATTGAGGTGAAGGTGTCATCTCCTATCACACTCAGGTGCCAATGTGTCAGAGCTGGTACTTTTTAAGCAAAAATACTTCGGGGCAATACTACCTGTCAAAACCTGGACCTTGAGCAGCTGAAGGACATAGAAGTAAGAGCTGTGATGATTAAAGCGGAAGGAGCTTTTTGAATTAGAAAGGCACGGTGGGGCAGGATCCCACTAGGAAAACGGTGGCCTGCATTTATTACCCATAGACATATATGCATAATCATTTATTCATTCACTCACCATTCATTCAGCAAACATATTTTGAACACTTTTCATGCATTGAGCTACATTCTGGTGACACAAAGAAGAGTAAGATACAATTCCTGACCTCAGGAAATGGGAAGCAAGCCTTCTTTTAATCAAAGCTCTTTGGGTCACAAGAAACAGAAACCCATCAAACTAGTTCAAAGAAGTGGAGGGGTGCGATGCAGGGAAGCCTTGTAGGAGGTCTTGTGGGACCCAAGGCAGGCAGCACAGCCACGCCATAGGAGCCTGAAAGCCCTTCGGGACTGAGGCCACTCTCCCCACCTCTCCAAACCATATGGTCTCGCCCACCTTTGCCTCCCTCTGCCCATTGGGCCTGCCCTCTTCCTCTTTCTCTCTAGGTGCTTTCTCTTCTGTGCTTTTCTTTTCTTTTTTTTCCTTTTTGTCTTTTTTTTTTTTCGTGTCCGGCAACGGATCGCAACCCTCAGTGTCGCGCCAGTACCGGACCGGGACCGGCAACGGGATCGCAAACCTCGGTGCTGCGCCCGCACCTCGCTCAGCCAGGGAGCGGGAACCAGTCTGTATGTGGGATCCGAACCCTCGGTGGGAGCCCCGCTGCGCTCCCAAGCGGTGCACTGTAGCAGTGCGCCACTGGGCCGGCCCTTTTCTGTGCTTTTCTTACACACAGCGCAGCAGCCACCAGCCCTGGCATTATATCATGACCTCACCGCTCTGCTCCCCGAAACTCACGAGAACTTCCCTCTTTTTCTAAGTGCGCATTCTCAATTGGGAGAATATGGCCAATTCCCCATCCCCAAAGGGCCATTCCCAGAAGGCAGATCCTTGGGAGATGGCTGTCCTGGCTGGGGCACCTGAGGATTGGTTGCATTATGCAAGGTGTCCACTCCTGCTCCAGACAACTCAGGTAAGGAGAGGAGGGTGGTGCTCACATCGTATGTGCTATTGCCCCTTCCAAAAGCAAAGTGGTAGGAAGGAACTGGTGAAGCATGTGAACACCAAGGTACAAATAAAAATGACCATTCTATGCCGGGAGTGTTCTAGGAGTGGCCTAAACAGTACAATGGAAAGAACATTCAGCCCAGAAGAATTGGGAAAGACTCCCTAGAGAACGTAACATTTAAGTATGATCTCAAAGGAAGAATGAACACAGTGATTTCCTTGGGTGAGGGAGCTTGAATCATGACAGAAAAGGAGCCGCATGCTCAAAGGCACAGGGTGCTACAGCAGTCATGGAGTGACAGTAGCAGGCGCGGCGAGAGGCTTGGGTGAGGGAGCTTGAATCATGACAGAAAAGGAGCCACATGCTCAAAGGCACAGGGTGCTACAGCAGTCATGGAGTGACAGTAGCAGGCGCGGCGAGAGTACAGGGCTCGAGAGGAAGGGTGAAGGCAGGTGGATCCTATCCGTAGCCCCACTTGTGTGCTCTGCTGAGGGTTTGAAGCCGTCTGCAATGAGATCCTGAGAAAGTTTTAGGTCGAAGAGTGGTTATTAGGTCGTGTTGAAGGCTCTTTTCTCCTGTCTCTCTCTGGACCATGGGTTTTCAGCCCTTGCCTTGGGCCTAAATTTTTGGCCAAAAGTCAGGCTGAAAAAGCGGTATCAGGAATAGAATTCCTACCGTGGAAGATGAAAGCTAGATACCAGTGGGATTTGTAAGTAAAACAAAACAGCACAAAAAACCAAGCAGGGAGAAGTATTTAGCTAAAAGGCTCATTCAGTTTTTGCCAGCCGCTAAGTTGAAAATGAAAAATACCTTTTAGCTGATTAAACGGTAGATGCAAAATCACAAAGTCCATCTGTGCCCATCTCTCCCCTTTTATGAATCATTTCTGGATTATCCAGGTGTTAGATTTGTCAAGAGAGAAGCTGAGATGAACCATAGAGAATGTGGAGGCATGTTGAAGGGAGCAGCCCAGGGATCAGAAGACCCGGGCTCTTGTCTAGATTCTACCACTAACTCATTACGTCTTCTCGAGCCAATCCAGCTCCTCCTTGGATCAGTTTCCTTAACTGTAAGTGGGGTTTTAATAGATGGCCTCTAAAACCTATTACTTCTAGCATTAACATCGGGATTCTATAATACTTACAAAAGTGGGGTGTGTGTGTGAGTGTACACACATGTGCACAAACCGCCTGACAGCCTTCATTGACACAGCATTGCAGACGTCCCTCTGCAATTCCTTGGTCCTATGGCCTGTGTGTTAGTCAGTATGAAGACAACATTGCTAGTCGTTGTACATACATTAATTTTCAGCCGTTTTTACTGACTGAGCCACAACATTCCCATCCCTTTGACTCATTTATTATTAGGGTAATGTTAGCTGCTACAATAAATAAATCCCAATATTTCAGTGGCTTAGCAAAATGGAAGTATATTTCTCCCTCATGTAATGGTCCAATGAGGACTGTCTTGGTCAGCAGGTGGCTTTATTCCACGTGGTGATTCAGGGACTTCCATTTTGTGACTCTGCCAGCCTCTGGGGCCTTGGAGTTCTCCTCATCCAGTGTTAAGCGGAAAAAAAATTAGAGAAGACACACACACTTCTAACTGCCTTGGCTCCAAAGTAATACTCATCACTTTTGCTCATATTCTGTTAGTAAAATCTAGTCGCTTTAACCCACCCAAATGCAAAGGAGACTGGCAAATACAGTCCTTGGCTGGGCAGCCAATTCCCGGTGACCAGTCTATGCTACACACCCCTCTGTGATTAAAGATAGATATTTTTAATATCAGTTACCAAGACCATGTCTATGTCTATGTGAATTTTTATGGTTTGCAAAAAATCTTTTATGTACATGTGTTTGAGTCTGATAAGAACCACAAGAAGTGAATATTATTATCATTTTATCAGTGAACTTCCAACAGGTTAGATGATTGCCCAGGAGCACACAGATAGAAGCAGGACCAAACACAGGTCTTCTGATTCCAAATCCATACTTTTCCCAGAATTATGTCTCCTTGTGACAAACACCAGAACAATGAATGAGACTTGCAGGAGGCTGGATCTAGCTAGGGAAAGAGTGCCACAGAGAAGCAGCAGTGTCCAGCGAGGGAAGGTGGGGCAATCCTGCCAGCAACTGACTCTCTTATCTTCCAACAAGTCCCTCCTCCTCTCCTTTGTCTCCATCCTCACTGAACAAGGAGTTTCCTCTAGGGGCACCTGAATGGATGATATGTCAGCAAGAGCCAAGGGCAGACTGGTGGAAATTTCCAAAAGGGAAATTTCACTGTGATAAAGTGATTTGGATTAAGGAGCCTAATTACTGACAATTAATGATGGAGAGTCATCTGGCCCCAGGGAGAGGGTGATTCAAAAGACATCTTCTTGGGAAAAGATACCCAAAAAAGACTCCCGGAAAACTGCTGTGGTAGGTATGTCATGTGGCATTTATGGCATTTCAGAAGAGTATAGAAGTGGGTGGGAGAATCAAACTGACTTTATAAATATTGAGATTAACCTTTACTCACATTTGAAGGTAATTCATCATTCTTTTCTTCTTTTATCACACTTTTATTGAGGTGTAATTGACAAAAAAAATTATATACATTCAAGGTGTATAATGTGATGTTTTGATATACGTGTATACTATGAAATGATTGCCACAATCCGGCTAATTAACATATCTATCATCTTGTATAGTTGCCCTTTTCTTGTGATGAAAATGCTTAAGATCTGCTCTCTCAGCAAATTTCAAACATAGAATAAATTATTAGCTATAGTTGCCATGCTGTACATTAGCTCTCCAGAACTTATTCCTCTTATAAGTGCAAGTTTGTGCCCTTACACCAACATCTCCCCATTTCCCCCACCCTAACTCCCTAGTGACCACCCTCCTGTTCTCTGCTTCTATGAGTTCTGAGTTTGACTTTTGCAGATTCCATGTACTCATATAAGTGAGATCATGCAGTATTTGTCTTTCTGTGCCTGGCTTGTTTCACTTAACATAACGTCTTCCAGGTTCATCAATATTGTCACAAATGGCAGAATTTCCTTTTTTTATGGCCAAATAATATTCCATTGTATGTATTTACCACAATTTCTTTATCTGTTCATCCCTCAATCAGTACTTGGGTTGTTTCCATATCTTGGCTATTGAATAATGCTGCAATGAACACGGGTTCACATATATCTTCAAGATCCTGATTTCGTTTTCTTTGGCTATATACTCAGAAGTGGGATTGCATCATTCTTTCTTAAAAATCTGGAAAGGAGGTAACCCAAAGTAAACTATTTTGGTGTCTCAAAATCTTTAGATTTTGATTTCTTATCTCAGGCCTCTCTGCTGTATCTCAAGTTCTTCCTAACTTCTACCTCAGTGGAAACATAGTAGGAGTTGGCTATCACTCTGTTGTCTCTATTACAACCGCACATTACATCACTGGGGTTGCTTCTACGACGCATGCTGATTTCTTATCTCAGGCCTCTCTGCTGTATCTCAAGTTCTTCCTAACTTCTACCTCAGTGGAAACATAGTAGGAGTTGGCTGTCACTCTGTTGTCTCTATTACAACCGCACATTACATCACTGGGGTTGCTTCTACGACGCATGATAACTATTCATTCTTTTGCTATGATCAGCTGGGTCCTCATTCAATTTTTCTTTCCGCAATGGGGCAGAAGTTAAACCGTGGAGGTCAGCATATTTGATGTGTTTGATCCATGCAGTCCTTTCC